TCATCCGTCAGGGAAGACTGTCACCAGAATGGGTCCCAAGGAGAGACAGTGACCTCCATTCACCCCACCGTGAGGTAGGTAGCCTGTAGGCCACTGACTTCCATCACATAAAACGAAAGGGTCTTGTGGGCCCCAAGAGAGAGGCATGTTGCCATCTGGAGCTGGATCCATTTCTGGGGTCCTGGGGCTGTCCTCAGAATGCATGGTCTAGGATGTGCATCTCTACTACCAGGCGAGGCTGGCGGGAGGGTAGCTACGTGCATTTGACACTGAGATCCGCTTCCCCTTAATAGTGCTGCTTCCTTGAGGACAGAGGTCTAACAGGATTTTTGGAGCAGCACTCCAGAAACCAGAACCAGAATCGGAAAGAAAACGGTCCTGCAGAACCATCCACCTCTGCAGCTGTCACAGGTAACAGTTACATGAATGCATGTGGACGTGTGCCAGTAAAATTTTTTCTCACAAAAGCAGAGAGCAGGCTGCCTTTGGTTCTCAGACTAGAGTTTGGAGACCCTTGCTACAGATGGCTCCTTGACTGTCTTGCTATAGGGGTCGGCCTTCAGAGACCGACTGTCTGCTCAGAAAATGAGCAAATAATCCAGCCTTTTCCTTGGCCTTTCAGGGTTTCCAGTATAAACAAGCAAAAGGAAATGCACCATAGAAATACATCTAAGAGCAGTGCAGGACAGACGCAGAGCAAAAACATCCACCTCCAATATCCACAACTCCACCTAAGCATCCTCTGCTTTTTGTTAGACTGTGACACTAGTGGGAATGCAGCATTACTAAAAGCTAAAGGTGTTAAAGTTGCTACTGCAATAAGGATGGAGGACTCAGGAGAAGAAGAAGGGGCAGGGCAGGGACTCATTAGCGACCACAGCCAGATTCACTTTCTTCCTCCCCATGCCGTCTTCTACAGTCTGTGCTTTGCTTGCACAAGGCAGCTCCAGGCTGGCTCTTCCCTATTTAAAAAGACCAGTACAGGCAGCCTTGAACTTTAGGCATCTCAGAAAAACAAAGACGGTCAAACTGAGTCTCATTATCAGTTGTTATAGCAACACAGAAACGACTGCAGAGGCACTGAGAACGCCACACAGGAGCCACTCCTGTCCTGAGCGCAACCCACAAGGAGTCACCTTGGTTCCTGTGTGCAGTGCCCCAATAGCTCCTGGAGAGAGAAGCAACTCAGGCCCCCCATCAAATGCTCGACCCCAGGCCATCTCTTCTGTTCATCCTGCTGATTTCCCAGAGGTGTCCAGAACGCAAGCACCTCGGCGATCCCTGCAGATGCTGAGTCTAACCTGACAGGCGCCCCCCACTTCAGTGTCTCCGCGCTTCCTTGAAATGGGACTGCACAGCACTTACTGCCTGTGTTGGAGTTACCTGGAGGCGCCACTTGAAAATGCGGGCTCACGAGCTCCACCTCGGACCCACTGAGTGAACCAGTTTTGCCAATATCTGAGGAAGGCTAGTGTGGAGAGCAGACCAGACTGTGGTATCTTCTCAGTACGGTGCAGGGTAATGATCACCAGGCAGACCTGCTGGGGCCCAGTCATAGGAGGTGGAATTCACATTGGAGCCTGCTCATGACCACCTTCCACACCTCCATCCTATACTCAATCTCCAGAACATAAAACTGCAATATGAAAGGGAAATAACCGACTTGCTGTCTCCATGGAAACCTGAACCTAAACGTATGCATTCTGGGGCTAAAGGAGAGTATCTCCTGTTATTTTCCTGTTATTGGAAAATAAGAGAATTGAAGAGAAAGGCGGAAGGGGAGCTTCTGTAGAGGAGAAGGCGTCCGAGGCTTGGAAGGAGTAGGGAGGAAGGGGACGGTGCGGAATGAAAGAAAAATGAAGAGGTGTCATGAACACGAACCAACTCCCCACAGTGCCCGTCCTCATTATGTGCTGCACACGTGAGCCAATAAAAATAAATTTTTATGCACTTGGTATGATATTCCCCCTCTCAAAACTAAAGACTGCACGAGCGGGGGATTACTTGTGGCCCTGTGCCTGCCTCGCAAGAGCAAGGTCCTGAGTTTGATTCCCCACCCCCGTACCAGAAAACAACATACTAAAGGCTGCTCCCAAAAGAAATAGCAACATGTGTTCTTATGCTTATATGTGTTCACTTTAGTTGTTTTTTTTTGGGGGGCGATTGGCTGAAACACTTTGAGCCCATGGAACAGGTGTCCTGAACTCACACACAGGCTGCTTTGAAAGTTCGAGCCTGGCAAACCGACGAAGAACCTAAGGTAAATGGGCGAAAGAATTGCAGAAACTCGAGCGATCTTATTCTAGAGAGCATTTTGATAACTACTGCATTCTTCTCCTTCTGCCGGTCACAGGTCTTTCTAACACTGGCCTGAGCCTACAAAGGGAAATACACAGGGAGCTCCTACATCTCTCACCTTCCAGTAATGCACCCAAGCTGCTCTACCCAATAGATAAACTACCGACTACACTGAAGAAATCCACACTTTAGCCCGCAAAGTCCAGGCTGTTGGCAGTGTTGACATGAGTGCCCTAGAATCTAGTTCGAATTGTGTACAGACCCAAAAGCTTTTGCTTTGAAAAGCCTTGCTTTTCTCACACTCGTACACTCACCACTCGGGTTAGGTTTCCCCATCTGTAAAATGGGGTTGATAATTATGGTTACTTCACAGAACTACCATGCAGATTAAATAAGATAATACTACTAGGACACATAGAATTGTGCTTGGCAATAAACAAAAACTGTAGGATCACCTAAAGGAACTCTTTTCTGTCTGCATATTTTTCTTTCAAAATATCCCAGGACAGGTTCTCACTTGTAGTTAACTACCTCCAGCAACACTTCTTTGCCCACTTATTAGCTTGAGATTTGCTTCAGCAATTTGGACTTCATTAAAATTATAATGATTTCTTTAATTTCATTTCCTTTACCGTCTTCCACTTAATGATGTCGGCCACGGCCCTGGGAATCGGGGAGAATCTCTTATGGGAGAATCTTAGAAGAAAAGAAGAAGAAGAAAAGAAGAGCTAGATAGAGTCAGTAGAAAAAATAAAAAGATCGGAAATTACTAAATGTGCACGGCAAACCAAATTTGTAAGATGAAAATGAAGACGCCTGGGAAATGGAGAGTCGGTGAAAAGATGTGAAAAGAAGTTTCAGACAACCGAGCGAAGACCAAGTAAGGTCCTCTGCAGCCCTGAGCACCGCACCATTGCTGTGTCCCTGGATCCACAAATAACACTATCAGCTGAATTTGATCCTCCTCCCCCCAGTATTTCTCCAATATTTCTCAAAAGATCTTGACCAGCTGGGTCCTTGGAATCCCATCTACCTCAGATCCAAGAGGTTTAGCTCGGCAGGCGTGCATGTGAGCAGGACCAAATACACTGGGATATAACCGGTGTTCGGTGCCAATTTGGGAAATCACGCACTGTTTAGAAGAAGTGTGAGTGATATGAATCTTTCTATGGCTTTTTAAGGGGCTAGCAAGACTTTTTATCTTGAGCTATAAGAAATTATTTTATGGTGAAAATAATGCTTTTGGAAGGGCCTAATCCAATGCCTGGCTTGAAGAAATATACACCTTATGTGTATGTGCCTTCCGGTGAAGAAAGAAATTCAATCCCCCAATAGGGGTGGATTCTTATAGCCATTAACACAACACGTATTTATCAACAAAAAATATAGACCTACCAGGTAAATTTGAACCTAAGGTATACAACAGACACATAAAAAAATACAATGCTGCCCCATGCAATACTGGGGGCACATGATGGAACATATCATAAAACCACTCGAAGTGCTTATGTGAAATTCATCTTTAACTGGGTACCATGTCTTCCAGCAAGTAACCCAGTAGCTGTGAAAAAGGTACACAACAGCCCTACTTCCCCACGCAACTTGTAGGAACCCTAACATCAAATGCTCACAAGAGTTAGTTCCCAGCCGGCACTTCCCCAGTGAGAAAGCCCAGGGAGTGGTCACCTTCTTTTTAGAAGTAGAAGTCCATTGCCATCGGGGGCCCATTTAGCAGATGTCACTGTGTATTATAGCTGCAACTTTATTTCCTTGTCATGCTCCTCTGGAAATAAGGTCTTCGGCAGCAGAGCCGGAGAGTTTGGATCCTACATTCCTGGGCTCCAGGAGAGGGCTGGGAACTCCCACGAGCTCAGCATGGACCAGCTTAAAGAATTAGTGGGCAAATGGGTCTAAGGTTGAGTTTTCTCAAACAATGAAGAAGAACCACGCTCATAGTTCATAAAAAATTTTTTTCACATACAATCCTTAAATGATGAGGCTATAGAGAAAACTGTGTTGCCAGAATCCAAAGTTGATATGGGTGAGGAATGATGTTTTATTTTAAAATGTTGCATGAAGGTAGTCCAAACAAAATAGAGGCTTTAAAAAGGGGGAAGAAAAGGGAGCAAGGAGAGTTTAAAACTAGCCTTGTAAACAGGACTAAGGGGTCCCTTGAAGGAATAGTTCTGTAAATAAAGTGTAATTATGCACAGTGGAGGCTCAGCCATAAGGAAGGATAAGCTTGAATCATTTGTAGGAAGATGGATGCACCTCGAGACCAAAATGCTAAGTGAAATAAGTCAGACACCGAAGCATAAATATTTCATGGCTTCTGTGATATGACAAACCCAAAATATAAATAAGTTACGGAGCAAAATAATATATGATGGGAAAGAGGGAGGCAGGCTTTGTAAAAAGGAAAGGGATCTGGGAAGACAGGAAGGGAGAGGAAGGGAAAGCAAAAATGACTGAGTTTCAATGTACATATGTGACAATTCCCCAAGATGAGCATAATTATGTCCTGAAAACATCTACTAATAAAAAACAAAGAAAATTTCTGGACCTAATAGTAAGAGTGAGTCAAAGAACTGATTTAACGAATCGGCAATACAGTCCAATATGATTTTCAAAAGTGAACCAGAACCACAATATTAATAACTGAGCAAAGGGTGTAAACCAGTAAGAAATAATTAAGAGCCATTTTATTGTTAATACTGACTGTCATACAATTGAGACACTGAAAAGGAAAAATCACACAAACCCACCAAAGGACAGATTCAGAGAAGCACAGGGGAGACAGAATCTACAATAGAAAATCATTTTATGGCATTGACTCCTTTCTATCCAGCTGTAAAAGGGAAAAAAGGATGTCAGTGCCTATAGGCTAAGACTTACTTAAATTAAAAAAAAAAAAGGCGGGGGAAGGAAAAATGTATATATTGTATTGCAGATTCCCAGTGACCACACAATGGGCCAGGACTCCGTGAGCTCTTTCCCTTCCCCGTGGCTTTCCTTGCTGCCATTCTGTGGCCTCCCGCGTGGGTTTGTGGTGGACGCATCACAAGAGCGCTAAGGATCTTGGCAGTTTACTGTCAGTGCTCGGACCGGTAGGCAGGAAAAGTCTCTGTTCGATGAAGCTTCAGCGGGCTGGTGACATCTTTCCCAAAAAGAACACAAAGGCAATGGTTATGTTTCAAGGAAGCTTACGATCAAGCGTGTTACTAACAAGTTTCTACTTCACAGAAATAAGTAACATCTTACACAGGATGTTTTTCCCAGTGCCACTCAGATTTGCAAATAGGAATCCCGAGAGGTTCCACGATTAACATATAATCTGCCTCTGACCTCTGCACTTTGAACCCTGTATGTCCATGTTGTCCTGTTTCATTTTTCATCTGCATCCAACCACGTAGTCAGAGTAGTTACGGGACGTGACGCAGAAACACGGGGGGTGGGGGACACTTTTACAGACGTCACCAGAAATAAGACAATATTGCACTTTAGGGCATCATGTCAATGTAAAAAACGAACTTGTTGAAATCCATTTAGTCTTTTTTTTTTTTTAATTCAGCTTTGGGTTTCAAAGCAAAGCAAAAAAGAATTAGCCTTCTTTGTGACATAACACGGGGTTGGCTAACGTTTTCTAGAAAGGGCCACATATGATCAGAAACCCGCAGCACAAAAGCAGCCATGGTCCATACATAATGAATGAGCATGAAGTTCCAATAAAACTTTACTGAGGAAAATAGGCAGGAGCGGGACCTCCCCCTGCCCAGGCCTTCCTGTGCGCATCCTGGGGGCTCCTCGCCTTGAATTTTACGAAACCGAGATGCCTCACTGCCCCCTGCTGGCCGAGTGTTAGCACAACCAGAGAAATTCACGCTGCGATACCAGGTGAAGAGCAGGGCATCAAGGGAGTGCAGACACTGCAGACAGTGCCCAGTGCTGCGGTCCTACAGCTGGCAGGGCCCCCCGCACTCAGAGCAGTGCGTCTTCAGTCGCCAGACAAGCAAAACGCTGCATGGCAGCACAGGCTCTCAAGCCTTAAATTTCTGTACTGTTCCGTCCTGTTATCGCCTCATGTCAGTCCGCAGGCCTCATTCCCTCTGATCTTCCTTCCCGACACTTGGATGTAGGCAAAGAAGATTCCTTTTCCACGTCCACGGAATAAGGAAAAGCACATGCACTGTCGTCCACACGGTAGTGCTGACAATTAAAAAAAAATACGGCCGTGGGCTTTAGGAGCTCTACAGCCTTGCACAGGTTGCTCCAGTCAAAACATCAAACAAACACAACTACGATTCTCGCAAGCCTCGCATCGGAACCAAAAGCCAATGGCACCTCCACCCCACTGGCCAGTGCTACACTGCACGCCACAGTGAGGATGGCTCACGTGTCCTAGGCTACCAGGACTCACTGCCCCCAAGCTCCAGCCAGCCTGAATATGAACTCCGTCCTCTTTCCACCACACAGACTCTGTGACAGAGGGAAACTGTTGAGCGCAGTCCCTGCGGGGAGCAGACCGCATCCAAACAGTGTGAGTGCAAAGGCTCCTTGGTCAAGCGCAAAGCCCTTCCCACGCTGTGAAGCTCCTTAAATTCTGTGAGTCTTCACGGAGACCGACTAACAGCATCCACCTGGGGTCAAATCGAACTGAAAACACAGCTTCCAGCGCGACGGCTACTGAAGCTTCGGGCTTGGTTTGAAAGCCGGGTTTGGCTTAAGGACAAGAAGTCGGCTAAAGGGTGCCTGCTCCACACCCTGTCAGGAGCAGGTCCTAGGCTGGAGATCACAGCTGGGTCCAGGCACACGGGCTGCACAGGCCCAGGCTCCCGAGCTGAGCGGGACTGACTGTCACTGTGTAAGTGACTGCGGACTTCACACAGCGGTGCCGGTTTACCTGGTGTGTTGGAAAATTAGACGAAAAGCTGGCCCCGTGTCCCGCCACAGACTGCAGGAAGCACGGTGCCCTCTCAGACAAGGCCTGGCCCTCCTTGGCCTTCAGCAGGGACCGCCCATCCCACACGGTCCACCCCAGTCATTTCCTGTCCTGCCTGGAATCCCCGTGTGAGTTTGCTACCCTTCATCTGCCCTCCTAGGATCTGTGGTCCTCAAAATCAATATGCAAATAGCGTGGGTTGGAGAAGCAACCCTTGGGTGCCATTTTGACTTGGGGGCACATTAACTGAATCGCTCACAGGGCAGGTTTTCCCCCACAGGTACGTCCATGTGTTGTCCAAAAACAGGGCTAATCTCAGAACACTAGCAAGCCAACAGCAATCCCTCCACCTGCCATCCAGCCGCGCGGTCCTGGGGTCTCCATCTCTGCGCTCACAGACGGGGAGAGGTGGGCTGCCCTTGCAACTCTGGCAGCCCACATGGAAGACGCGGGTGGAGAGGCACCTGTTTGGGACCACTCTCAAATGCCATCTCACAGTGACAGAGGTGCCCATTTTTCCTTGGTTTTGTTTTGGAGCAAGTACTGCTATCTCCACGGCAACTCTGGAAGCAGGGAGCGTCTTTGACATCAGGGTAAAGCTTCCCAAGGTGACAACTTTGAGAAGCAGAGGAGCGCGGGGGAAAGGACTGTACTGAAGTCAGACGCTCCCTGCTTGTGTGTGAGACCTGCCGCCTCTCTTGTGCCTTTGCAAGCCTTTGTGTTAAAATATGAACTAAGTCTGACACTGACACCACCGTGCTCAGAACCCCAGGGCTTCCCAAACACTTAGAATAAACAAGTTTTCTTTAAAGGCAGTGGGTGTGGGGGAAAGGGACAGGGTTTTTCTGTTACCCCATCTGGCCTTGAACTTGCTATGTAGCCCAGGCTGACCTCGAATTCACCATCCTCCTTGCCTCGACTTCCTCCCAAGTAGTGGGATTATAAGTGCCACCACACCCAGCTTAGAAAATGCAACTCTTCTCCACTCGTAATGAGAGCCCTGGCTGTCTCTTCAGGCCCTTTAGATACCTGACGCACTGACGCCTTTTGGCTCTCTGAGTCACCAGCTCATTTCTGCCTCAGAGCCTTGGAACTGACTGATCTCTTTACCGAAGATGCTTTTTCCTGGCTCTCACTTCAGCTGCCTCTTTGAGATGTAAAATCTTTAGGGTAAATGCTGGGGCTTCCACTGGTTATTCCATCTAAAGTTGTCCCTTTGTCCTTGTCTCCCCCAAACCAATGACTTTGTCTCACTTTCTACAGACACTGGAACCTTCACATTTGAAATTCGGTGTTTACATAATTATTGCCCGTGACTCTCTGTTGATTGTAAGTTCTAGGAGGAAAGAAACATGCCTGGCTGGTAGCCCTGTGTGTGCCTGCCACCTCCCACAGTGCGTGGCACAAAACAGATGCCCAATTACGTTTGACTGGGTAGTGCAGGAATGCATGGATCAATGAACAGAGAGAAAGAAACTTTGAACCTTAACTACTTACTGCACAGGTGACATGGGTGCCTTCCTTATACTTCAAGTTCTCAGGTTTTAGTAGCAAGGGAGAACAAAATGTGTTCCCGTGGAGTCTCTGTGTTATAAAAGGATCGTGTATGTCAGATGCCTATGCAAGGCCTGGCGCACAGCAGGCTCTCAGAAAGAGTGACTTTTGAGAAGACTCCCCGTGGCTTGGCACCACACAAGGGACAGATGTGGGATTCCGGCCCTTCACTGGGGATCTGTTAATGCTTATGTATTTTTAAAAGGAGAAAAGAGAATTCATGTTCACATTGGTTTATAGAGCTTTGGTTAAAGTAAAACTAAACAAATCAGTCACTGCAGGATATATCAGAACATCAAGCTATAATATGCTGCATCCTGAATCTCCAAAAGAAGAATTTAGAGTGCAGCGTTTCCCCCCCAGTTTGCTTGATCCCAGTACCTTTTACTGGGGGGAGCTGCTATCGGCAGGGTTAGCACTCCATACAGCCTGCTCAGAAACGCTGACCTTACTGTTTTATCTAATTCACGTCTAAAAGAATCCTGTGGATTAGGTGTTGAGTAAAAATTTGTTTAATGCTTCTCTTTCATGCATTTCTTCCAGTTTTCATTCTAAAGCCACTTCCTACATTGATTTTTATATCTGCCTGAACATAAAGAGAATTTCTATGTGAAGATTGGAAAATGTAATGGGACAAGCAGAGAATACAAATTCAACATGTCTTCGTGTCTATGGCAGGGGTCAAAACTAGCATCTCCAGCTCTCCCTACCCATAAGAAAATGATAACTCCAAACTGTACCAGTGGGTGGCGCTCTAGGACCAAATGTAGGAAGGAAAGAAAAAAATTTTTCTCAAATGGGTTAAATTCCCCCATAAGGGTCTGGCTGATCGCTAAGATTAACTTTCAGATCTGCTAAGAAATGTCAGCTTGTACTCTATCGAAGCAGGTGACGTGGCCAGAGGAATTAAAGCCCTAAACCTCAGCAACACACAGAAATTATGTCTCAGTACCTGCATCATACCGCTCCACAAGGCCACCAGGTCATTAACTTTCTCAATTTCATTTTTTCTAGGGGGCAGTGGGTGGGCAAGGAGAGAAGAGGGCAGCGAGGAGGTACAGGCAGAAGCCGGCAGAAGCTTTTCTCATTACTTGTGTCAATAACTGTCTCTGGCAAGATAATCTTAGACAGACTGCGCGCGTATTTAAAACTTCAATGATTAGGATTCATCTTATTTTCTCTTAGAATAGTAAAACCAGTGGTTATAACATCATAAGAGTAATAAAATATATTTTTAAATGTGCAAATGCATTTAAGTAGAAGAGAATGAATAAAAATGAATGGCAGTCGTGGTAGTAGATATATGATCAAAATTACAACACTATAACTCAAATACCACGAACATTTCTGAAGCCGCGATGGTAACAGACAGCATTTGTGACACCTGATCGAACCCCACTCCGCAGATGCATTTTGGGAAGTGAGCCTTTTTGTCAGTTATGTAGCGATTCAGCCACTCAGCCAGCACTCAGATCTATTGTGCACACGCTCCCTGCTAGTGAGCCCAGCATGCAGGCAGGAAGAATGGAAACTAAGTGTTCTCAGTGCTTTTTCATAATACACCTTCTTGTACCAAGTGCTAATGGACGGCTACTCCCTGGCAGGCACCAGGATGGGATGACAAAGGATGAAACAACAGGCATCCTTTCCTGCCCTCTAGGACTTTTTACGAATTCTGGAGGAGTTCCTCTCACGTCCCGCGTGGCCACACTGTTAACTATGAAAAGCAAACTTTGATAGGGGCTATCAAGGAAAGGTCGTCATCTGCACTGAATCAGAGATTTGCGAGCCAGTTACAGTTCTTAAGTGGGGAGGGCTGTCTTGGGTTGGTGGTGCCCTGCAGGTGCCACCCAGAAATGAGTAAGAGTTAACTAGGGCAGGGGGAGGGCCCAGCATTCCATGGGGAGCTATCTGGGGAGGGAAGACCATCCGGAAAAGACAGAAGGAAGCCAGCCGGGTGACCTGTGTGGACACCAATGCCCAAGACCACTGTGTTCTGCATTCGTTCACTCTGTGTTCACTGTCTTGGTGAAGTGTAATCCAGTGCACGCTCTTTCAAGTTTGAGGACCTTGCACTCCATTAGTGCAAAGTCCTTTTGCAGGTTCCCACTCACACATTTGTTGGTTTACTTGTAGATTACATAGCCAAAAGCCACTGGAATACTGTGAGGTGTACAGTGACATATTTTATGGTATCCAAAAGGGCTTGAACAGAATGCTTGTTTCCCTAATGAGCAGGTCTGTACCCTGCTTCGAAGATCCGTCCCCCCTTCTGGAAATCGACTCATTGTGATGTACTTAAAGTCACACCGCAGGACCCAGATCAGCACCCAAGCTCTGGGTTCATTATGCTCAGCCACATCCTCCTTTAAAATCTCCAGGGCCAAGGACTGGAGAAGCCACATTTTAAATAATTTCTCCTAAGACATTGTGATGGAGGCAACTGTTTGAAGCCCGGGGCCTGCCTCACCAGAGCGGCGGGCGACATGGGGAGTGAGCCGCACCCCCACCCCCCAGCCTCTCACCTTGCAGGCGGTACAGCTGCCCGGTGCTGTGCTGCCGCGTGATGTGCTCCCAGTAGGCGCTGCGCGGCAGGGGCACCATGGTGCTCAGCGAGGCGGCCCGGTCACTCAGCTTCATCTGGAGCTGCGGCCAAAGGAGAGAGAGCGATTTGTCAGCAAGGCGGGGCGATGAGGGAGGCACCCCCGGAGCTCTCACCACCTCAGCGGTGGACAGTGAGTCTTCCTCGAAGGCGTGGTCTCCCGCCTCCCTCACCCTGTGAGCAGCAGGGCAGGCTGCTCCCTGGCGGAGACGCCGCCAACTCTGTCCAGCGCCTGCAGCCCCGTGGGGCTGAGCTCCAGGGTCTGCCGTGACCCACGTCAGGCCAGCGAGACAAAGTCCCACCAGGCGTCTGTCAGACACTTCGTGGAGGATCCACAGAGGCACGCCGAGGACCGGCCTGTCCTCACTGCTGGCTCTGTACCAGGGTCTGGAACATTCATGACACATAGCAGGTGCGCAATAAAGACTTGTGGAACAGAACGCGGGTCAGAATCTATTTTACAATAGCCAAGGGACAGCGTGACAGTGACTAGAAACCGCCTGAGTGAGGCCAATCAGGAAGTCCCTCCTGTGCTCAGGGGCAGGTGAGCCGGTGACTGGTTTTTAAGCTGTTTTGAAGTGGATGTTCTGTCACTGTCGCCAGACAAGAGCCAAGTCTGCTGGGCCAACTGCCCTTCTCAGCTGGTCACTGCTCAGGTACTGAGGGGGGAAAGAGGAAGTCACACCGCAGGTTCCCCAGCCGGACAGGGCGCAGCCGTGGCCTGTCCTGGTCCTGGCACTGCAGAAGAGCTCAGCACACAGGCAGGGGCAGCGACAGTGCAGCAAAAGGCAAACAGGGGCACACGTGCAAGAATGGGGTGCCCTGGGAAGCAGCTCCTAGCCACTCTGCTCTGAGCCCTGGTCTCAGGCACAGTCGTGATAAGGTTTCATCAAAGCCACCACACAGCTGGCCATCAGCAAAATTCAAGGGATCCACCTCCGTTTTTTAAAAAAAAGGCATTCAGGAAGACCCAGATTCGTTCTTCAGAGTATAGCTTTCAATCAGTGAAAACTGGAGCGACTTAAGTAACCCTCAGTCCAGGCCCAGCTAATGGCTCGTAGACACAATGCCATTGTTGCACCAAAAGAAAGAAGATTTAGATCAACTGAACAGGAGACCCGCACACACCGTGCGGGAAGGGAGCACAGCGAGCCGCAGACCACTAGACCTGGGGCGATGATGCCACTCTCATGCTCACATGAAAAATGGTAGCGTGAAACAGTTCTCCAGGTGGCTTGCATGAGGGGCACTGCAAAGACACCTGCCCAGCCGTGCTCAGCACCAAATGGCCCGGGAAAAAAGAAACAGATGATCATGACAGTGATTTTAACTTTGTAATCCCTGCAGAAAAAGATTTTAAAGAAAGGTACCTCCCTCTGCACATGTGTTCAGCATGGTAGTCTCAGATATGGTATCTGTACATTCACTCAATAAAGGCAAAATACCTGAGAGACCAAAACTCACTGCGGTTGAGGAGACTAGACTTGGAAAAAGATAATAAGCAGTCACTCAAAGGATAATTCAATTTACATGTGCTGCAGCTACATGTGCTGGGCTGAGTTCCTGGTCCTTATCACAACTGCCAAAACGCACTCCCAAGCGGAGTAATGAAGTACTAGTTTCACTGGGGTAGTTTTTCCTAAAAATGCCCTCTTAAATCAAAAGGTCAGAGAGCTGAGTATTAACTACACTGCTGAAAAAGTCAATGGCTTCTTCCGTATATGTGAAAAAAATCTTTAAATTTTTTTTTACATGATGACATTCAATCTAATTTATATGCATGCAAGAAATGAAAGGAGGAAAAAACTGAATTTAGAAGTACCAATTATTTGATTTTCTCAATATAAAAAGATTACATTTGATGTAATAAGAATTTTAATATAGAGGGAACACTTGGGGGATGGCAGTCACTTCGAATTACTCACTGCTTCCCTGTCAGTACAATTGGGTGGCCCTAGCTCAGTCGGACCGTATTTTTCGAAAGCTTATTTAGGAGCGAGAAGGAAATGATCCAAATGCCATGTTTTTAGAGGACAGAGCAAAGCCTTGCTCTGTATTTGTTCCTCCTCAGCCCCTTAAAAGAATATCTAATTTTAGGAAAGGAACATCTGAGTCGTATCTGAAGAAAAATGATGAGAAAAGCCTCCTCGTTTGACAATGCAATATGTCGGAATCATTCTGCCGGGTGTGAAGTCTTAGGAAGTCGTCGGGTGACAATCTGGCCCGGAAGTCGTCTTCATTCCGAATATGGCCGCAAGCCGCTCAAACTAGCAAAGGGAGGGCAAGCAGGGCCCGTGTACATCACTTGGGAAATACAAATTAGCACCCACTTGGGGAGGAGTTAAAATTGGGTAACCTGAACTATCTGGAGAGAAAGCTTACTGTTTTGTTAAAAAAAAAAAAAATCCATACATTTCTTGTGTTTGACTTTTTTTTTTTCAGTAAACATAATACATTCCCATTTGAAAAATGAAAATTACTCCAAACAACAGAATTAGAAAATACAGAGATTTCTGCCATAATGGGGTTCTGAGGATCCTAAAAAGTCTCCCGCCCACAGTACTATGGGGGAAGTCGGCACAGGGGAAGACCACGCAAATACACACCTGTTACCCCCAGGGGTGCCATCTCTTTGGGGGAAACATAGACAGCCAAGGGAGGCCGGAGGCTGGGGAGGGGATACAAGCACAGTGGAACAATGCTTGTTTGGAAATGCTGGTGTCATGGCTTAGACCCAAAGTGTCCCCCCCACCAAAGCCTGGGGTATGTGGAAGGGTACTCCCACCAGGGGGCGCTGTACTCATCAGTGGACCATCCCTCCATCCCTGAGGTCTGTAGCTGCATGTGGCGAGGGCAGGTGGGGCCCATCGGAAGAGGTGGATCCCTGGGACCTAACCTGGAAAGGGGCATCTCTCTCCCACGTCTCCTTTCTCTCTCTGCTTCCTGTATGAGCAGCTGTCTCCCGCCTGCCACCATACCCATTCTGCCTCAGCATCTGCTCACTGTGGACCGAATCCTCCAGCAAGCAGGAGCCAAAACAAACCTTATGCCCTGTAAGTTGTGGCTTTCTGGAATTGTGTCCCAGCCACAAGTAGCTAGGACAACCAGCTTGAGAAGGTCCAGTGACAGAGACGGAGAAGGCTCTTTTTAAAAGGTGGGCACCGATAGATGTGCCTACAAAGAGGACAAGGACACATCCCTTTGCAGACGAAGTCCTGGAGTCCCGACATCTCTGATCTTAAATTGAAGTGGGATGCGTCCTGCCTGCCTGTGTCGTCATTTATTTAAAGGCATTTTCCTTTGCAGCTTAAGGCTACAGTTCTGCTCCTACTAACCTGGGTTTCACTAACCTTGGGAAAATCCCTTGCATGCCAACACAACCCCAATATTAGAATACAGAGCAAACTGTATACCGTACCTTACCTACCCTTCTGCCCTTAACAAACACATGCCCTTGAACTCTGTAAAAGTCAACAACCACAACAAAATCATCCATCACTCCTTTCCTTTCCCATGTCAGCAAACTGAAGAGAATCATGAAACATTAAGCTCAGAACGCAGTGAGCATCCCACCCAGTCTCCTGAGTGAATCCCTCATGGAATCAAGCATCCTTGGGCAAACAGTCCAACTTCGTGGAGGGGGGTGCTCTGATCTTGTACCCTACACCCCTACTTCACTCAGTCCACCCACTGCACCTCTGCACCCAGCCTGAGAGCTTCCTCCACATCCTTACTAACACCTACGGGCCTTCCAGGATCCGTTCAGGAACCACCTCCTTACATATTCTCCTTACATCTCTTCTCCTTTCTTAACAGGATCAGGTGCTATTACCAGGTATCTCACAGCTCTGTACTTTCTCTGCTCATTTTTGCAACAGCTGCTAAACTAGCCTGCTTTCTTCCTACTGCAGGCTGAGATCTTCTACAAAGGAATTAGAGCTTTCATTTCTGGGTCTCCGGCACAGACTTGGGTCTTCAGAGGCTAAATAAAAGTGTGACAAGTAAACAAATGAACCCAGCCTTTGTCCGACCAAATAGCAAGAAACAGTTTTCGGAAATAAATTCTTATGAATCCAGCAAATGAGAAGCACCATTGGCCCACCCCCAAATTCATGCTGAAGCCTCAGGTCCAGGACAAAGGAATATGCTGGAACTGTTTTGGGGGTACACAGTACTAAGGCTGTACTCTGCCCTTCTGCAGGTGTACAGTTGTTTAGGACAATCTGACAGCCAGGGACTTTAGCTCTGCACATTTCTTTCTGTCGAGAATGTCAGCTCACGATCTTGCCAGGGAAGGAAGACAAGGCTTCAGGGAAGTCACACAGTGCCTCTTGTTCTTCAGCACTTGAACTTTCCCTACACAGCCAGGACATGTGCAGATCTCTTTCTAACCCAGCCCGAGTGAGCCCTGGTGCTGCCGATCAGCCCCTGTCATCCGGGGGGTGGGGGGTGACATGGGCGAGGAGACCAGGTTACACTCACTCCTGCTTAATGTGAGGGATGTGGGTTTCAACATCTCTTTTCTACCGGAACTAAGAGACAGATGGTAAAACTGTAAACAAATTTTTAAAAATCATCTCAAAAAGGAATGAAGCCCTGGCACACACTATGACTTGTATGAATGTAAAGTAACTGCATCCAGTGAAAGAAGTCAGCCGCACAAGACCTCATAATGCACCCTTTCATTTATAGGAAAGGCCCAGAATAGGTAAATCTCCAGGGAGAGAAAGCAGATCAGTGGTTGCCTCTGCCTCATGGGTCGGTGGCTGAAGAAGACTGGGTTTCTTCTGGGGATGATAGAAATACTCTGCAACTGACTGTGTTGATGAATATATGAAAACCATTAAACTTACCGGCTAAGTGGGTACACATGCATGGTAAGGCATGTGGGGTATGTTTATGTCTCAGCAAAGCTGTCACCAAACATATAAAGCCAAATAGCAGTGTGTGCAATGCAGATTATTGAAAAATCATGATAGGGAGAGTCAAGTGGTCTCAGAGGAAGTAACATTCAAACCGAGATGCGAGGGACAACTGGCTGAAG